CTACAGAATGGAGAAGAATCTTTACAAACTATACATCAGACAGGAGATTAATATCTAGAATATATAAAGAAATATAAAAATTAAATATCAAAAGACTAATCATCTGATCAGCAAGTGAGCTAGTGAACTGAACAGTCAGTTCTCAAAAGAAAAATAAATGGCTAAGCCATATCTGAAAAAAAGGTCCAAGATTTTTATCCATCATGGAAACTGTTTTGAAGATCTATCCCATGCCGGTCAGCATGACTGGCGAGGAAACAAATGATAACGAGTACTAGTAATGATGTGGTGAAACAGCAATCCTTATGCTTCTGGTGGTACTGTAAAGCAGAAAAGCAGTATCAAAATAAGCACAAGAAGCATCTCAAAGAAACCAAAAAACTCTACATAGGGCCATCATCTGACCTGGCTATAGAACTCCCAGATATATAACTGAAGGACCTTATGTCAGCATGCCACAGAGATACTTGCACATTCGTGTTCACTTTTGCTTTATTCACAATAGCTAAGAAATGGAAGAAATATTGACACCCCTTCACACAAAAGTGTAAAAACAAAATGTGATTCATGTACGGAATAGACTTTTTTTTCAGAAAAATAAAATGATCATAGGACATAAGCAAGAAAATGGATAGGACTGAATATCTTATTTTAAGTGAAATAAGGAAGGCTCAAAAATATATATCTTATCTTATAAATGGAACACTTGGAATCTAGATTGTGAGTAAGTGTGTGTGTGTGTGTGTTTGTGTGTGCACATGTGTGTTTGTGTGTGTGCGTGTGTTTATTTGGCTCAAGGGCTAGAAGAGGACCATAGGAGTGGCGATAAAAGAACAAATTATAGTGAAATATATGAAGGAAAATTCATAATTAGGCGCATCTCTTTTATATTTAATAATTTAACTTTAAAATCAATAAAATGGAAACAAACAAATGTTTCTAAAAAAAGAGGAATTATTTCAACATCTCAGTCTGCTTTCCATTGTTATAATAAAATATCTAAGGTGGGGTAGCTTATAAAACGGAGATATTTGTCTCACATTTTCAGAGACAGAAATAACAAGATCAAGGAGACCTATCTAGGTAATCCTTGATAGCATGGTATCAAATCAATTCTGGTTGTCATAACTAGGAAAAAATAAAGAAAAAAAGGCATTTTTGGGGTGAATAACTGCATACCAGTATCAAAATATGAATTCATTTTTCAATAAGAATGAAACTACATCTGATTCAGTAGCTATAATTGAAGTAACTTGAACCTGGTTGGGTTTGCAGTAACACACTGTCCTCAAATATCTTTTTCTTGCTTTGTTTATCATCATCATCATCATCATCATCATCATCATCATCATCATCATCATTATTATCATTCAGTTGTATCTGGTGATTAAGTGTCTTCACATTTTGGAGCTTGCTGGAACCTGAGTGTAGCTATATGTCACGAAACAACAACTGATAATCTTGCCTGGGATTAATAGCAAAAATTTTAAAATTACGTTAAATTGTCAGGATGTGGTGATAATCCCAATATTTAAATCATTTAAGTCCTTATGGTAATAGTAACAACTGATGTCCCTCCCAGAGAATCAACATTGCTTCTGATTTATAATTTCCACTCTAGTGGTTTCCGCTTGACTTTTCCTGCCGTACTAAATAGTCCTTTCTCTACAGATCAGGGTACTAACATGGGATTTTGTAAGTTATTAAGTATGTCTGTTGTAGTTAATTATACGTCCTGGAACTGAAGAGATAATGGAAAAAAATAAATTTGGCAAGACATTAGACATAAGGGTGGGGGCTGAGCTTCACTGATCATTTATCCCTTAAATCCCTCCATCCTGACTGACATATCACAGTGATGTTTGGGGGTATTTTGAAATTAGTGCCACTTCAGACCCTCTACCTATCAATCTTACAAAATCTATTTCCTGTTTCTCAATGCAAAGTCACCCTAGTAAGTAAAGCCACTGGACCCTTTGCCTTATGGGATGCTTAACGGTAAAATTATAGGCATACCCCCTTACACAAGGACACATAACCTCCACTTAATTCAAGTGAATATGGTCTGAAAATTGGCATTAGATGAGGAAATTGGAGACTCCTGTTTCTCTGTTGTTATTATGCAGATTAGGTTAACATGAGACTTAACCATGCAGCCCAGGCTGACCTTAACTCATGGTTCTTCTATCTCAGTTTCCTGAGTTCTGTGATTACAGGGATGTACTATCATAGCTAAGCTGCTGCTGCTGCTGCTGCTACTACTGATGCTGCTGCTGCTACTGATGCTGCTGCTGCTACTGATGCTGCCTCTGCCGCTTCCTCTACCTTCTCCTCCTTTTCTTCTTTGTCATTTAGCCAGCTTTATGATTCAAATTTCAGTATTCTTTACTTGGCCTAGAATTCTTCAACATATGAAAATCAAAAAAGAATTTGATAAACTTTCTAGATGTATTCTATTTCTTTTCACAATGATCAATAAACTAAAGCTATATATTTCTGACTCTGTGCACTAGACTATTCTGAAGACTTCTTTGATTGTAGAGCACATTACTGTAACTATAGTCTTATTAACTTTGGTGTTCTATGCCACCAATGGGTTGATAGCATCCCAGACTCTACTATTCTATTGTGATTAGGAATTCCTTTGTGATATAAATTTTTGTCTACAGAAAGAAACCACAAAGTTCTTCAAGAACATTAGCCATAAGATTTAGAAAATTCTATTGTTTAATATTTACCTAAAATTACATACATGTTTGTATACATTTTAACTAATGTTATGTCACTTGTGATGACAATACTTTATCCCCAAACCATAGACGCTCTATGCCAAACAAGGGAAACCTCCTTTTAGGGTTTTTCAGGAAACTCAAAGACAGACTTTGCTCTTATGACTTATACGTTATAGTCATTGCCCTTTGTTGTCTTCCATAATAAAATAGTAAGACCCTATTGGTGAAGAAACCACATACTTTCGAGACAGGAATTGGAGAAACTAAACTTGGTTCTGACCTGGAAGCCTCCTCTTCAACAACTACCTCTCATAGTATGTGAAAGAGACATGTGAGCTGCTGAGAAATTAAAGCAATCAATAGTCTTATCCAGCTGTGATGCCTAAGAACCACAACAATGACCAGCACAGATAGATGCTCCAAAAGATACAATAGTGGTGATTATAGCTTGGGGGTAAGCAACAGGCACCTGATTGGATCTGAGGAGGAAATTCATGCTTTACAGTAGACTGAATCATCTACACATGGCTGGTGAGACCGTGGAACCTCAGCGAGCACATACTACTGCCATTTTCTAAAACCACTATAATTTCAAGCTAAATTTTAAACATTTATACTTATATCAAAAGAAAAATGTAGTTTTTCCCATCATCAAAGAAGGTTTATTTTTCTTTTTCTTTTCAGCAGCAGTAATAGACAGAGGCCATTACAGAAAGTCAAAGTGCCGTTAACAACTGACCATCAAATGCCCTTCCCAGTTAATACATTTATAACACAAATCCTTTACTTAAAGCTGAAGGAATGTAGTGGAGAGGAGACAGAAAAATTGTAAGAGCCAGAGGACCAAGAGATCTGTTACAAGACAGTATCTTCTTTAAAAAAAAAAATTCAAGAGAACCAACACCAAAGAGAATGGATCTGCAAAGAGTTTCAACGAGGAGCAGAAGTGAATATGATCAAAACACAGTATGAAAATCTCAAAGAAATAATAAAATACATTATTTTAAAATGAATGTTGGCAATCTCTAATAATCCTTTTTTTCATGCTCATGGAAAAAGAGTGTGTGTTAATCACTCTAACATTCTAATCTCCATACACTTATTTGGCCTAATCCAATGCTATGTCCTCCTTACCATTAGACTCCACCCTTAATATCTATTACTTAACATTTTACTAATGTTCCCATCTGTCTAAATTAGAAAACTCATACAGTTCTTGTACATCTTAACAAACATCCTTATGCAACACACCTCATCTTTTAGTGCTTGCTGGGACTTGAGTTTAATTGCATACCCCGAATTAACAGAGAGATATAACTATAAGAACCAAGGAAGAGACTTGACTGGTGCAAGACAGCCTTGATATGAGATTCTGTAAGAGTTTTTTTGGCAAAGGAGAGTTCTTCCTTTGATGAGACTGCTTCTACTGACAAAAGGAACTTGGGTAACCTTAGGGGTTCAGTGTCTTCAGGTCTTAAACATGTAACCATTTACCCCATGTCAATTTTGAATATCCCTTTCCTTCCCAATTAATGTCTTCACTTAACAGCAGACATCCTACGAGGTTAGAAGTTCTATTGAAGCTGTAACTTGCTCAAATAAAAGTATCTAGATTCGACTTTTTATCATGTCAATTTTGTCACTACAGGGAAGAATCTTTCAGAGAAGATTTCGATGTTTTCAAACCATTACTTTAGCACTTGACCTAGGAATTAAAAACCTCTAATTTATCCCTTTCTTTTTCCACTTGGCAAAATTAGGAGCAATTGTTTAATCTCTGTAAACTCACTAGTTTTATAAGGATGCCCTAGGGTACCCAGTGAGGTGTCATAGTACATGCCTATCATCTCAACACTTGAGAGATAGAACTGTGAGGATCAGGAGTCAAAGACTAGTCTCAGCTACATAATGAGTTCAAAGCCCCCCCATTTGTATGTGTTCACCAAGAAATTTCATTGATTGTATTCAATCATGCTATTTTATACCTCTTGCCATATCATCCTATATACTATTAGAGTCCTTTTTACTACTAGAAATAGAGACATCAAAACTCTTAAATTCAGTTACATTAGAGAAGAAATGTCAAAATCCCAAAACTAATTCAGAAAACTTGTAATACTGTGTTTCTATGGAATGATTCTCAGTAGCAAAAATCAGCATTTGGGTTCTCCAAAATTAAAACTAAAAATAAACAGAACATACAGGATATGATATTTTCTCCTTATGTTTTTATTTTGAGATTATAATACTATTACAGTATTTTTCCCTTTTCTCCCTCCAAACCACCCCATATATCTACCCCTCCTTGCTCTCTTTCAATTCCTGGCCTCTTTGTCATCAATTGTAAATGCAGAAGAGAGGGTGGAAAGATTCTAAGAGCTGGTAGATAAGGGAGTTTTCTATGAGACTTTCTCTCCTAGTAATGTCAGAAGCTACATCCATGAAGTCTCACCAAGATGACTGCCTAAACAGGACCTGAACAAAGACAATGCCAACAGACAGGCTAACATGGAGAGGAAAAGCTCACAAGGCCTCAACCCTAGGAAAATAACTACAGGCAACTAAGGAAAGCTGAGAGCAAGAGAAAATGTCTTCCCCAGGGAAAAGCATCAATTGGTTATCCAATCCCAAGTGATCAGTCCTGAAGACATACATACAAGTGTTATTACACAGACTGAGCAGGTTGTGGCTTCTCTTTCTTTTAAGTTAGCCGTCTTAGATGATTTTTCAGAGGTAGAAAGTTCAAACTTTGTGGCAGTGGGCCACAGAGCTGGAAAGTCAGGAACACAGGTGCTGTAGTCTTGAGTCTGAAATGTGCAGTGCAGACAAAAACTTCGAACCTCAAGTTACCAGTCTTCGGGTAGTATTTCTTTTCCTGGAAAACCTGTGTTTTGCTCTCAAGGCCTTCAGTTGATTAGATGAAGTCCATTTTCACTACTGATGTTAGTCTCTTTTTCTTAATAGTAGCAAATTACAAGTTAATTGTATCTATAAAATGTCTCCACAGCACCATTAAACATGAGTGTTTGACAAAACAACTGGGCACCAGATCTCACATTCCTAGAAACTAAATATAGCAGTCCCTGAAATATATTTTATAAAAAAGATAAACATTGAAGATTCTTAAAAGAACTCCAGTCGGGTAAACAAGTAATTTCAACAATGCTGTGGTGTCATAACAAAAATTCACCAATAGCTGAACTTGCCTATGAATGCCAAGATAAGAAACGTTAAAGCCTTTGATGCCCTCAAGCTGATAAAGGAAACACTCAGTAATTACAGCAGCCCAGATGATCTTAGAAGCTACTCTGGCACATCTAACATTCCTTATGTGGCGAGTCTCTACTGGAAGAAACGTAATCAGAAAAGCCTCTAGGCTAACACAGCTGAGTAAAAGGGAACTGGCATGTACATTTGCAATTTGAAAGTTCTGCCTCAAGGCAGATTGAAAAGAAGCTAAAAATGTTTCACTATTTGTCACACCTTCTGTGAGGGTAGAAAAAATGCTACAGCCAACTAAAATGTCTGCCTGAGCTATGTTACTAATAAACACCACAGTGGATTTTCTGGATACAGAAGGAAATGTCAGTATCAGCATGACATACAGACTAGCGAGCAATCCCAGTAGGGTGATGATGGCGTTTGGAGAAGGTAAGACTAGATATTGGATGTATTTGAACACCAGGTACCTTCGGAGGTCTTTCATATGGTCTCGATGTTTTAAAATGTGAAGTTGGGCAGGGTTCCTAGAGTAAGGCAGAGAAGAAAAAAATTCTATAAGATTATATGCAACACAACTTAAAGCCCTTGAAACTATAGTTCTGTGCGAGAGAGTTAGTGGTTTTAATAGCTTTCCCATGATTAGACCCAGTTTCATATTATGTCACACAGACATCTGAAATGACATCTTACTTTTGGTGGCAATTGATGGCAAAGACAAAAATCTTTCTTTCCAGAGCTGGGTAGAAGCATGCAGGAGGCAGAGAGGCCAGCAGATCTGAGTTCAAGGCTAGTCTAGTCTACATAGTGAGTTCCAGGAATCAGTTCTGTGTTAGAGAGTACTTTTCTCAAAGAAAACAAACAACAAAAAAATCACCTTTCTTTTGTTTCAAAGCTTTCTATATATAAACTGATGTCTCAGGGTTTCATCTTTTCTTCTGATCATTTAGAGTAACCAAAGAATTAGAAGAAATTTTCCTGGGGAGATTGATTCATATATCAGAATTAGGAAAATTCTTGGGTCAGATGTCTAGTGGAGATAAAACAATATTCTTCTTGATTAATGCACTAGAAATGAGAGGGAAATGTTACAATTACAATTTCTAAATGAAATTATGACAATGAAAGGAAAGGTGATATTTAAATGTTCTCTTCTCCTTCACACAGAAATTCTTTTTAAAGCTAACTGTTTTTTCTACAGTCTCCCCCCCCAATAATTCTTCACATTGGTATCCTTTGCATTTAAAAGTGGCATGCCTAGAACATTATTTCCATTCATCTGAAATCTCCTGTATGTCCTCTGTCAAATGTACCATCATGACACTAAGGAGGAGCGTTTTGTGTGGCAGCTATTAAAACAAGAGTGCCATGGCGCACATCCTCAAGGAAATCATTACACATAGATAGCATTTTCTAGTTCGGATTATCATTGCTGTGATGAACCAGCATGATCAAAGCAACTTGGGGAGGAAAGGATTTATATGGCTTAGGCTTCTACATCACAGCTTATCATCAAAGGAAGTCAGGACAGGAACTCAAACAGGGCAGGAACCTGGAGGTAGAAACTGATCCAGTGGCCATGGAGGGGTTCTGCTTACTGGGTTCTTTCCCATGCCATGCTCATCTTGCTTTCTTATAAAACCCAAGACTACCAACACAGCAATGGCAACACTCACAATGCGCTGGGCTCTCTCCCATCAATCAATAATTGAGAAAATGCTCTATAGACTTGCCTACAACCTAATCTTAAGGAGGCATTTTTTTCTCAATTGCAGTTTCCTACTCTCAGTTGACTTTTGCCTGTGTTTTGAAATGCAATTTCATATTAAGTGTAAAGTAGGGGTATTTTCACTGCAAAGAAAATTATGTACAAATCTTTGTCTCTGACAGTATCTCAAAATTCCAGAATGTTGTTTGTTATGTGAGATGCTTAAAATTTTTGTTTTTCTTAAGACAGGATGACTAAGAGAAAATATGCATGGAAGACACAATTTGAAATGTCTGAGGTTCAGAAAGCCAATCTGAATGAGTCCCTAGCTGAAGGTTAATAATAAGCTTCAGCCTATCAGGGTCATTAAGCTCTGTTGTCTGTGTGATACTTTATTTGTATTTTTAATAAATAAAGCTTTCCAGAAGGTCAGAGTACAAAGCAAAGGCACCAGAGGCCAAGGAGTGGTAGCAAACACCTTTAACCCCAGAGAGGCAGACGGATCTCTGAATTCAAGGCTACCCTGAGCTACACAAAATGAATTCAGAAACAGATTTAGGTGGTGGTGGTTCACAGTTAATCCTAGTGTTTGGGAGTTACACACCTTAATCCTAGCACTAAGGATGTGGAGTCAGGAGCAATGTAACTGGGCAGCAAGAGAAATATAAAGGGGAAAAGACAGGAACTCAGTGGAATGTGGAGTCTGAGTATTTGTGAAGACAGGATCTTGCCTTTTTGGTATGAAAATTAGGTAGAGGTAAAAAGGTCTCTATAGTGGTTACCTGCTTTGCTTTTCTGATCTTCAGCTTGAACACCAAGACATGTCTCTGTGTTTTATTTTTCGTTCTACAGTTGTCATACCTTTCTGATTTTCCAAGAGACAGAAGTCAGGCTTTTCAGTCAGATAATTCAAATTTGTGATGTGGATCATCAATTCAGAAGTGCTTACTTGCTCATGGAGTGTTCTGCTTTGTTTTTAACACCAGGTGAAGCAGAGCTCAACAGCTGCTTTGCAGATTTTCTTTGGAATCCTACAAATACCACCTCTAGCAAACTGTGCCTGATGAACAGAACTGAGAAACTACTCAACAAATCTGTAGCAAGCCAAATTCAATATCATGTTTAGAATCATACAGCGTGATAACATGGGATTTGTTCCTGGAGTGAAAGGAATACAGGTGCTGTTTTTTTTAATAGTTTGCACTCCTTTAAAATGTGATCCTAAGTTGGCACAGGCCTTTAATCCTAGCACATGGGAGAAAGAGGCAGGCAGATCTCTATGAGTTCAAGGCCAACCTTGTCTACAGAACAAGTTCCAGGACAGCCAGGCCTATTATACAGAAACCCTATTTTGAAAAATAAAAAAAGTAAAAAAGAAAGAAAAAGTGATCCTAATTTTAGTGATTAAAAAAAGCCAAGGCTTTTGTAGGCTCAGTAACTTAAACAAACTCGCATACGACTAAGAAATGCAGGGACTTCTAATACAGGCTTGTCTAAACTGCAAAGTTTGTTCTTAGCATCTCAACATGGTTTCTAAGATTCTACAAGAACTTATCTTTAGATCCTTTTCATTAATGTGAAATTACAGCTTAGGATATCAATATACAAAGAATTTTTCAAAAAAGTCAACCTTGCTATATTTCTTCTTTCCCCACCTTTAAAACCAATCCTTTAAATTCTTCATTATTAAAGTAACTTTGGGATAGTTTTGCAAAGAACATAGGCAACTAAGAAAGGCTGAGAGTAAAAAAAAAAAAACAGTTTTCCCCAGGTAAGAGCACACCAATTGGTAATTCAGTACCAAATGGTCAGCACTGAAAACATATATATAAATAACATCATGCAGACTGGGAAGGCTATATTTAGAAATATAGATGCATATGCATACATGCATGCAATAACATTTTTAAAGACTGAAAATTTGAAAGAAAATAAAAAGGGGTTTATGGAAGTGCTTGGAGGGAAAAAGGGAAGGGGGAATGATGTAAATATAATTCAATATTTAAAAAAGTGGAAAGAAGGAAAAAGTATATCAGGTGATTGGCACAGGCGTATCAAAAGACATGGGTTTCAAGCTGCTTACAAATGGAATAAAGAGAAAGACACTCACTACAGTATGAAATGCTGAAAGAAGAAAAATAAATAATGAAGACAAAATAAATTCCCAAAGAAAATTTCTTTTACTTGTCATTATGTTCAAAAGGATTTGAATCTCAAAAAACAACCATATTCAGGTCAGGTCTTATTTGCTACCCCATGTGTCCTTTTCCATTTATCTCTTTTTCACTTTTAAAGCAAGGCCAGATGCATTATTCCAACCAACTTTGAAAGAGAGAGAGAGAGAGAGAGAGAGAGAGAGAGAAGGAGAGAGAAGGAGAGAAAGAGGGAGGGAGGGAGAGAGAGAGAGAGAGGGAGGGAGAGGGAGAACTGGAAGAGCACCCCCCATAAAGAAAAATAAATCCATGGGCAGCCAGGCTAATCTTAGGCTAGTTATCACATTTATGTATTTGTCGATGAGAAAGAGGATTGTTTTATAAATAATTCTTAGAGGAAAGTGGGCCAGGGCAGGCAATAGAGTCAGAAAACTGCTGTTTAGAATTCTGTAGAGGACCATATCTCCTGATCTGGGCCAGGAAATCCCACTTCAAAGATCCTTGCATGAGTGAGTACGTGCAAATGTCAAGTTACATCACCTCAGAAGGATGTGAAACCGAACAACTCCGAACCACACAGAAGTGTAACTATGTACTATGATTTCTATCAAAAGCAATCTGATTGTGTTTATCGCTTTAATTGTGGTACTATCTTCGTGGATGTGTGTGTATGCTCAAATTTGTCACATTAAAGGTGATCATTTTTATAAACTATGTTTCATTACCTATTTTAAAAGAGAAATGTAACTCCATTTCAAAAAAATATAGAGCAACCTGTAATTTGATCGTGTGAATTAAAGTTGATGAATTAACTCTGTTTACATTGCCAAGTTTAATTATGGATTCTCACAAAATACAAAGTGACTTTTCTATAAAAGTCAAGTAAATTGTTTTCTGAAGTCAGACTAGTCGAACTGTACAGTTTCGTTTCTTAATATACCAAGACAGTGTCTAATTTGTACTATTATGACACCAAAGATAAAAATATTTGATACAGATTTGTAGCTTACCCTCCATCAGTTCAAAATCCAGAGGAAGAACACAAACAGAAACATGCGTATGTACATGCATACGAAAATATGCTAGCAGGCAGTAACAGATAGTAAGAGTTAGGTACTTAATGAGTACACTGGGTACAACAATTTAAGGCAACAACAACAAAAAAAAACCCCTTCACGTTCACATCTACTGATAATTTGGCTACATTTTTTCCTTCATATCCAAACTGTCATACGTGTTTGTTGAGATTAGTTACAGACATGCTTAATGCTTCTAGTTAGACATATTTAAAAATAGAGGTCATACTTACATGATGATGAAGAATCCAAACAGATACACTCCCCAAGGGGTTGGTGTAGGTAAACAGAGCCAGGGTAAACTTTCTGTTTAGAGGTCTTCTTTTCCGGGCTGCATTTCACTGGAATCCATGGGTAAGCTGTTCATCTAATGGCTCTGCCAAGGAATTTGCTACAGCAGATTTCACAGGAAATGTCTGAATCATTGCTCTTAATAGTTGTGTGTGTGTGTGTGTGTGTGTGTGTGTGTGTGTGTGTGTGTGTAATATGGAAAAGTTGATACTTCTATTTTTGCAGCAACTTCTTATTTTCCCTTTGAAGATGTGAGGAATGCAGTCTTCATCAGATGGAAAACCACCTGAAGTTTTGAACAAGTTAAAGCTTGGTAGTTAAAATCCTTTGTGAAAGAACACAGGATATACATAAACAAATATCCACATGCAAGGGAAATAGAATGGAATTTCAAGGGCGAGTCTGAGTCTGAAGGATAAAATGCCCTAAAATTCATAGCTTCTCGGTGATTCCATAAGAATTTATGCTAAGAAATGCACAGAGGTTTTTTCTTCATGTTAATGGTATTTTTACTATGATTGTTGCATGTGGCGGGGTGGAGAAACAGAGATAGACAGAAGGACAAGCACAGACAGAGAAGACAGGAGATAAAAGATACAAGAAGAGAGAAAGGGAGGAAGAAAGAAAAGAAGAAGGAAGGTTCAGGAATTTAAATCTGAATATTCAAGTAAAAGCAAATTCCAAATACTTCCAGGCTTGCAATGGAGCTTAAGTAACAATATTGTCTTGTATCAATGCTTGTCATCAACTTTCACATAACACTTAAAAAAACCAACACACCCTGTGCACTTATGAGCTAACTATTCCATTTTCAGGTGGCAAAACTCAGCAACACCAATAAAGCCAGGACTAGCATCCACATTTGTGTACTCTTGGCTGCAGACTATTTTCAGTAGAATAATAAAAAAAGAAGAAGTTTACATGTGAAACTGCAGGGGTTGGAAGGACAGCTCAACAGTTAAGAGCACATACTGCTTTTCAAAAAGCAGTTTTATTCTTCACAGTCACATTGGACATTTTATAGCTACCTGTAACTCCACCCCCAGGGGATCTAACATCTTTTTCTGACTTTCCCAGGTTCCTGTATTCACAGGCACATACCCATACACATACACAAAAACCAAAAATAATTTTTAAAAATTTAAGAGTGGTTTGCCTGCATGTATGTGGATTTGTCACAAAGTGTGCATTGCTCAAGGATGCTAGAACAGGGCACCATATTTCCGTGGAACTGGATTGTTAGGCTTCGCGTGGTTGTTGGGAACCAAGTCTGGCTACTTTGCGAGAGCAGCCAGTGCTCTTAACCTCTGAGCCATGTTTCCAGTCCAAAATAAATCATTTTTTTTTAAATGTGAAACTGTAAGGAGTTGAGGAAATCAAATTACAAAGTGTAATAACTCATACTAACTCTTAAATAAACTTTAACTGTATAACTCCCTAGCTTTGAATTTTGATCCCTACCTGTTTAAATAACTTCATATCTAAACAAGATTTATATAAAGAGAAAGAAGACACAGACACAGAGATAGACACAGAGAGACACAGAGAGACAGAAGATTGTTTTGTTGCCAAGAGCTTATCTGATCCAACTGTTTAACTGTTCTGAAAGTAAAGTACTATTGAATAAAACCAGCAATAGGTAAAGAAGTGTTGAGTCCTCTTTCTACCATGTATACAATTCAAACACACTGAAAGTCCATATCAAACACAAAATGACTCTTTGGATCCTACAGATTATACTAAAGTCTTTAAGCGTCCTCCTCCCCCAGATTTGTACCATCTATGTATTTAATCTCATCATCAACACCTCCATTTAAGTCAGCAAGAAAATATTGAATTAGGATAGGAACTAAGATGGACCTCTTTGATGCTTCACATTAAAGATCTGTCTCAGTCAACATAGATAAACTAAAATTTACTCTTTGAAGATAATAATCAGTCATGAACCTTAGTACCCATCCATACTCCAAATTTACTAGCTTATCCCTGAAAATAATATTTTCTGTAAAAAAAGCAGCCCTTTGTTATAAAAAATTAAAAATCAATTAATCAATTAAGAAAACAAAAACAAACAAACAAACAAATGAAAAGCACCAGAGACACTAAGAGCAACGAGTGGATATGAACTTGGGCAACTGAAGGAAAACAGTGTTAGAGTTTGGAAATCAGACTCAATTCTCTGATATCTAGATGCCAAAATTCAAGTAATAGGACTCTTGATATTTTCAGGGCCAGAATAAATCACCCTCTAATCTTTTCAACTTCTCAAACTTTATTTTTCTCCTTAGAATAGAAAATGGTGATTATTGTGAATAATGGCATGAGGAGACTGCAGAGAAAGTGATCAAAGGGAACAAAATTCATTTGGTATTAATATGTTTTTAAAATGCAGATAGCATAGCATGGGGACTAAATTTCATGATACTTTTATATATTCTTGAAATTTGCCAAGACTGTAGATCATAAGGTGTCTCACCTTTAAATACATGTAAACAATAACTCCCTAAATAAAATCCTGGCTTTCTAAGGTCTACCTTCTTTATGTTCTCACAGGTATTACCCAAATTTCCAATTGGAGAAACTTGTGAGAGCATCTCTTATAATGACACCTTTCATTTACCAGATGATGAAAGTAAGTTCTAGAAAATGCAAATAATTTGGCATAGGGCCTACAGAAAGCTAGCATATGAGTTGAAAGTAGAAGTTCTTTTTATGACTTTTGGCAGAATATCTTTCCACCACAATTCAGAATCTCATGAAGGCTAAAAAGCCTGCCTTGTTTTGGCTGCAAAAATTAAACTATATACTTCTTTTTCTCTCTGTGTGTAAATGTCTCTGTATGTATGCACATGCATTTGCAGGTACATGTCTTATGTATGTACACATAAGTTGCATCAAATATTTCTCAGAAACTCTTGACTTAATTTTTTGAGACAGAGTCTCTTGCTGAACCTGGAGCTTAGTGATAGGCTAGACTGACTGGTTATACAAGTCCCATGGATATTCCTGTCTCTGCCTCCCCAGTGCAAGAATTACAGACATGCACTACTGCAGCATCCTTTTTCTGATGATAAAGGCGATCAAACTCAAGTCCTCATGTTTGCAGGTCAAGCATTTTAGTAATTGAACCATCTGTTCAGTGCCTACGCACTGCTTTTATATGTTTCTTGAAGCACTTCTGAATTTGTCAAGCTACGCTTTCTTTGACTCTAGCTTTCTTTTTCACCAGTGTTGAGAACTGAAAAAAAAAAAAAAACAACCAAGCAATTAAGATCGTGATATGCTTTACTCAGCATTTGTCCCTTGTAACTCAAAGCCTCATAGCTTTCATGTGACAGAATTGCTGTGAAACTTGTGGTCAGATTTAAAGTTTGGATAAGAATAAACATTTCTATCTAGCAGAGACAACGTGAATAATGTGAGATTGAGTGGTAAGATTATAAGTGAGAAATACTTCCATTCTGCATGTTATTTTGAAACAGAAATGCTTACTTGCTACAAGCATATAATTATAGAAGTACGAATATAAATGTAATTCTCCCCAAAGAAAAACATTTTAAATAATTTTTAAATGCTTAATGAGTAAATTCAAACGATGCAAGATATCACAAAGACATTAAACTATCAAAAGAAATAATCTACTGAAACAGAGAAGCAGTCATGCTAAAGTCTTAAGTAAAAGTGAGAGTATATACAAATGCATATGTGAGAGAAGAAAATGAACATTTAAATACTACTAAGAGTTAGTCCACTCCTTAACACTGTAAATTACTCCACTGAAAGAAGAAAGGCAACCTGAACAAAAATAAAGAAGCACAATCAACTATTCCAAATGCAGTCTCGGTGCACAAACTGTATGAAAAACCAAGACAACATGTCTCTTCAACGAATTATAACAATGACACCTAATGAAGATGATCTGGAAGGACTTCCAGACAAAGAATTCAAAAGAGTAACTATAAGCAAATTCACACAATTCATGGAAGACACGAATATACTCCAGGAGAACAAAAACATAGAGATAATGAATGAAATAAGGATATCAATCCAAAATGCGAAAAAATGAAATCAACAAAGAATAGTAGCACTGAAGAAAGTCCATCTAAAATGATGCTAAAAATGAAAGTTTTCAATGAATCTAATCGAAATGTGAATGGAAATTCTCACCAAGAGAATGGATCATTTGAAAAATAAAAACAAAAACAAGCAAACAAAAAAACTGAAAATCAAGACTGAAAGACAAGGTAGAAATATATCACTCAGTAAAAGCCAATAAGATTTTTCTTAATGAACAGAATGTGAACACCATGAAAAGACTGAAATTTTGAATTAACGGCATTATCCTGATGCCAAAAAAGATAAAAATATAACTAGATATAAAACTATATACTAGTCTCCCTAATGAACATAGATTGAAACATAGATTTAAATAAATTGCAGTAAAACCAAACTGAATTCAAGAACACATCAAAAAACTACCACAATCAAGTCAGCTTTATCCCAAATATGCAGAAAGGGTATTAAAAGTTGCAGGAGGGAAAGGTCAAGTAGTTTGTTACGGCAAGTCCAAATTAAATTACTGTCTTACAAACTAGAAGTATATCCACTAAAACCAGGAGGAAGATAAGCTTCCACTTCCGTTTAACATAGAATTTGAGATCTTAACTCTAGTAATAACACAGCAGTAGGAAACAAGGGTAAATAGGAAAAGATGTAGAAATATGCTTATTTGTAGATGATATGACTCTATACATCAAAGTCCCTAATAACTCTACCATAAAATTCATACGGCTGATAAATACATTCAGCAAGGGAGCAGGTCACAGAATTAACATACAGAAATTTGTACCATCCTGATGGGGAACCTCCTTCAGCCAATAACCTTTAAGAGGCTGGATCAAATTAGGGCATGACTTTTGGGTATCCAGAGAAAAACCCCGGCCTGCCCAGGGTTCGTCCTCTCTGATTCTTGCATTACACACCTGAAGTTGGACTTCTCATTCATGTTCCATGAGTTTGCCTCTTATAATAAAGAGGATGCTCACCGTCCTAGACCTGGATGGAAGGGGGAGGAGTTTGGACTTCCCACGTGGCAGGGAACCCTG